ACAGAATCCCAGAATGGTTTGGGTTGGAAGGGAGCTTAAAGCCCATCCAGTTCCAATCCCTGCCATGGGCAGGGACACTTTCCACTGTCCCAGGTTGCTCCAAGCCCCATCCAACCTGGCCTTGGACACTTCTAGGGATCCAGGGGCAGCCACAGCTTCTCTGGGCAACTTGTGCCAGTGCCAGATTTGCTTGGCTGATAGTTCAGCTCATTGCCTGAAGTTTTAAGATTTAATTAAAACGAAGCAACACTTACAAGACAGCAAGAACACCTAGTGAGTGTTCCTGTACATCCAGGGCACCGAGCACTGTATCCAGATGTGAAAGATTTTTTGCTAGCAGCTCTCCACTTTTATTGATCAGTTCACAAAGCTGGGTCATTTGCCCTGAAAAACAAAAAGCATTGTTGTCAAAGCCTAATTAGAAAACATTCGACCTTTCCTACACTTCATTATAGCCTGCTTCCCCATGTAACCTCAGGAAATAACAGTATTACCAGAAGTTTTAATTTTCTTGAATAACACAGGCATTAATTTTCTATCCACCACATGTTTGGTTTTTTTTAATAAAACAAATACCAAGCTTGTTCCTTGCTGGTCATCAAGTACTCAAGTATTTTTTTGAAGTAGACATTAAATTTACAACTAAGTACCTACAACAAAAGTATTTAAAAACCTGTCCTTAAGTTTACTTTGTATAATTAAAGCTACAATGCTATTCTATATGTTGTGAGCTATGAACATGGCATGAAAAATGACTACTTTGAATGAGGAAGGTATGGTAAGCCCCAAAATTCTTATAAAGAAAGCAGATCCATTCCCATGAACTGTTTTCAAACTCTTCCTCCCCCACAATTAATTGAATGAATTCAACGTCCTTCTGAAGCAGAGTATTGTTTCAAGCAGAGTATTGTTTCAAGCAGAGTATTGTTTCAATGTTCAATCCTTGCAGATTAGAGAGAAAAAACAGAGGTTCTCTCACCCTTAACAAAAGTCTCCATAAAACGAGGAATAGTGCCTCCATTCAGAGAGATTTACATTACCCTCAGGTCTCTGCCTTTTTCCTTTGAGAATGAAAAAGCTGGGAAGTTTTAGCAATGCAATGTTAGCTCTGAAGTGACAGAGGGATCAGAAGTTCCAAATGGGGTACCAGAGCCCAGAAACTTGCCTCCAAAACCATTCCCCTCCATATGGAATAAAAAAAAAAAAGGTATAAGCATGGGAAGGAATGGGGCTTGTAAAACCCTCTGTGTTTTGATAATGGTGCTCAGGCACTGCAAACCCCTAGTTCTGGTGTCCTCCCTATTCCAGAAAAACACCCCTTCTACAGTTGTATCACTTAGCATTCCCTAAAAAAACAAAACAAAAAAAACCCACAAACCCCAAACAGACTCTGAGCAAACTGGTCTAGTGGAGGATGTCCCTGTCCATGGAAAGGGTTGGAAAGAGATGGCCTTTGAGGTTTCTTCCAACCCAAACCATTCTGGGATTCTGCGATCTAACCTTCTACACACACATACACCCAACAACTTACAGTCTAAGCAGAAATTCCAGTACCAGGTCCAACTAAATGTCCCTTTCAGTCACCTCCCAAGAGGCCAAATGACAGCCAGAAACCACCACAAGTACACACATTGCTCCCGAGTGCTCTCACATCCTGAGCCTGTCTGCCTCTGGATTTACTCTCACAGAATCCCAGAGTGGCTTGGATTGGAAGGGTTCTCCAAAGTTCCTCTCATCCCAAACCTCAGCCATGGACAGGGATACCTCCCACTATTCCAGGTTGCTCCAAGCCCTGTCCAGCCTGGCCTTGGACACTTCCAGGGATCCAGGGACAGCCACAGCTTCTCTGGGAATTCTACGCCAGGGCCTCCCCACCCTCACAGGGAAGAATTCTTTCCTAATATCCAATCTAACCCTACTCTTTTGTTATTATGTGGCCATTCCCCCTTTCCTGTCCCTCCAGGCCCTTATAAATCTTCATCTTTCCTGTAGCCCCATCAAGATACTGGAATGCCACAATTAGGCCCTCCTGGAGACTTCTCTTTTCCAGGCTGAACAATCCAGATTTTCTCAGCCTTTCCTCATATCTCCGTCCCTCCAATGATCTTGGTGGCCTCATCTGGACTTGCTCCAACAGGTCCATGGAGACCTTCTCACAGAGAACATTTCCCTGGCTCACCCCTAATGGGAGAAGTTACACAAAGCCAACCAGTCTCCCCTTGAGCTTTCTGCATCCCCAAAACTCTGTGATAGAAAGTTCTCCAGCTCAACTACAGGAGAACAAAGATCCATCTTCCATCTGGTTTGTACTCACACCTTGCTGGTATAAATTGTCTCTAAAGTAGAAATACTCGGTATCTATTAAGCAAAACCAGAGTAAGAGAAAGCTGGAGCTCAACCCAAAACTGTCAGAGATAAAACCTGGGGCCATGGTGGGAAAAATCAATTTTTCATCAGCTTCTGGGAGGAAACATCCCAGGCAGAGACCAGTCAGAACACATCTCACAGAGCATCAACACAGAGAGAAAGTTCAAGAACCAGGAAACGCTGCGCCCACACACAGTAAAATTAGAAGTTTGGCAGTGAAACTAAGGAATTCTAACTGTGGTGATTAAAACCCTTTGTGGACACGTGGTTAGTATCAGATCTGTCACACAGTGGTGGGCCGGGACTCTGTTCAGGCTCTGCCTGGGAATGTAGAGTACGGACACTTGGACAATTCAGAAATATAGTTTAAACCACACTTACCACAACCTGCCCGTTTATTACGGAGGTGACAGGCTGGGCCACACAATCCCAGTTAAAGCCTTAGCGATGCTCGCTCCTCCCCCTTTTTTAAAGGCTCAGATTTTGGCAGGATCACCGGTGCGGGTTCCACTACCGAAACCACTCCCCGGGAGAAGCACGGAGCTCCGTGAGAGTACCACTGGCCCCTATGGCCCTGTCACACCGCCGGGATCCCTTCGGGGCTGCCCCGAATTCACCCCGGGGCTGCAGCACCCCGGACCCGCGTCTGACGGAGCGCCGTGTGAGCGGGCAGGCCCCGGCCCGCCGCCCCGACACCCGCGAGGTTTGACGACCTCCTTCGGTCTCCGCCGTCCTCCCTCGGCCCCGCGGGCCCGCCCCGTCCTCCCGGTGCCCCCGGCCGGCCCCGTTCCCCTCACCCTGGGCCGAGAGCTGCCGGACGCTGTTGACGAACTGCTCCAGGGCCGACGCCATCTTGGCGGCTCGCGCCGCGGCCGCGCGCGCCGAGGGGCGGGTCGGGGGAGCGGCGCGCGCCGGGAGCCACCGCCCGCCGCCCGCCAATGAGCGGCCGTCGCGGGAGCCGCGCGACGCCCGCCGCCCGCGCGCCACTTCCGCCGCCTCTCGCGAGAAGCGCGGTCGCTATGGCAACCGCCGGCCCCGCGTCAGGGGCGCGGGAGGGGCCGTGACTCAGCAGCGCCGGAGGGGGGGGCGGTGGTGACGTCATGGCGCGTCACCACTCCGCGCCGCCGGGGACCCCCGCGACACGGGGCCCTCGCGACATGCGGGCCCGTGTGATAAGGGACCCCTGCGACATGGGGACCCCTGCGACACTCCGCCATCCGTGACACCGGGCCCTCCCCGACACGGGTGGCCGGCGCGGGGCGGGGGCTGAAGCCCACACGAATGGCTGCACTGCACCAGCAGAGGTTTAATCCCTTTTGTCCCCTCTGACGGGGACTCAATGTGGTGGCTGTCGTCTGATTGCCTGGAATGCTTGCTCTGGTATCAGGGAATGGGATTTGAATCCCTCAGGTTAATACATGGATCTGTATTTTCCATCCCTCGGGAGCTGAAGCGGTGTGTTCAGTATCCATGAAGATGATGGAAGCCTGAGCAGAGATCACAGAATCGTAAAATATCCAGAGCTGGAAGGGACCCACAGGGATCATCCAGTCCAACCCCTGGCCCTGCACGGGACAAGCCCGAAATCCCACCCTGTGCCTGAAAGCATTATCCAAATGCTCCTTCAGCTGTGTCAGGCTAGGTGCCCTGACCACTGCCCTGGGGAGCCATAAATTTGTGTGTATTCCCTCCCTGCTTAGTCAGGAACATCCAGCTGTGTTGAAATCCCATTCCTTGCAGGAAGCAAAATGCCTGCGGTGCAAGTGAAAGCACAACACAGACCTGAACTTGACACGTTCCCCTCCCAGCCTCAGCTGAGATCACCATCGTGTCCAGCCACTTCTTCCTTCCTTCCCTCCGTGACCTTCCCCAGGTCACCCCATCCCAACAGCAAATTTGCCCTCTCTGTGAAACAAGGGCAATACATTCCACTTGAAAACATTCCGGACTTGAAAAATTAAATACTTTGGAACCTTATTATTGCTGTCGAGCAAAATTTTTTATTTCCCAGCTCAGCGGTTGCCTAATCCTGTCAGTATCACTTGGAGAACTCCCTCTTTTTCATCAGTTTTAACCTTCAAAGTGTTTTTGAATAGATCTTTGGTGTCTTTGGTCAGAACATCGAGCCTTTCTTGGTGCTTCTTTGGGGTCCGGGGATTGGCTTTTATGGGTTCCTGTCACTCGTGGGGACAGAGTTATCACACGGCGCAAGAACGGTCAGAAACGAGTGCATTTCACGCAGAAAATCACCATCGTACGAGTGCCCCCAGATATACCCACCACCTCTGCAGGCAGGGACGGGCATGGGGATGGAGCGGGCGGGGGGACCGGGTATCCCAAAGAATGTCAGCGACGGAAACTGAGGCAGGGAAGGAGGCAAGGGAAGGGCAGCGGGGCTGGGGCAGCCTTAAGGCGGGCGGGCGGCGCGGAGCCGCTGCGCTGTCGCAGGGCGCTTGTGCCGCTTTAAGGCGGTGCCGGCGCTCCGGGCTCGCCAGGCACCGGGAAGAGGAACTGGGCTTTGCACTGCCGGGTCGGGGCGAGCTCCGCGCCGGGCTCCGGCCCCGCTGCCCCCGCTGCCCTCCCGCCGCCGCTCCGCGCTCGCTGCCGGGGAGGGATGGGGCGGGCGGGGGGAGGACGCGCTGGGGGCCAGGACGAGCCTTTGCATGCCCCCCGCGCCCCCCGGCAGCCCTTCTGCTCCCCCTCTTGCACCCCCCCGCCGCTCCTTCCTTCTGCTGCAAAGGGATGCGCTTGACAGGGCTGCCCGCTGGCTCGGTGCGTGCTTGAAATAGAGACTCCCTTCTTTGCTTGGAGAGCCCTCCTCGCCCCTGCTCTGAACCCCCTATCCCTTTCCCCAAGCCCCCCATCTGCTTCCTCGAGGAACCATCCCCTGCTCCAAGCCCCATCCCCTACCTCAAGCTCCCCAGTCCCTTCCTTGAGCCCCTATCCCATTCCTCGAGCCCCCATCCCCTGCTCCAAGCCCCATTCCCTGTCCCAAGCTTCCATCCCCTTCCCTGAGCTCCCTACTCTGAGCCCCGATCCCTTTCCTTGAGCCCCCATTCCCTGCCCCATATCCTCATCCCCTGCCCTGAACCTGCTTTCCTGAGCCTCTCATTTCCCTCCCCTGAGCCCCCTTCCCCAAATCCCCTATTTGCTGCCCCGGAGCCCCCCATCCCCTGCTCTCCACAATGATTTTGCTGAGCTGCTTCCTGCACCTGCGGCCCCGGCGCTGCAGCCCCTTGGCCGGGCTGGGCATGGGGCTCGGCCCCGCAGCGGGGTCCCGCAGGGCTCTGCGGGTGCTGGTGGACATGGACGGGGTGCTGGCTGACTTCGAGGGAGGCTTCCTCAAGAAATTCAGGGCCAGGTACCCCGACAAGCCCTACATTGCCCTGGAGGACCGGAGGGGCTTCTGGGTGTCGGAGCAGTACGGGCGCCTGGGACCCGAGCTGAGTGTGAGTTGTGCTTCCCCCAGCTCCATGCATGGGCTTGCTTTGGCCAGAGCTTGGCCCTCAGGGACCCTGTGACCCCCAGGTCATGGGGGCAGCGCTGGGGAGGGCTGTGGGGGCCACCAAAAAGCTCCCATGAAAACACAGGAACACAGGAGGGCTTCCAGCGGTGCATCTTTCCCCAGAAATCCAGCTTTTCTTGTGCACATCTGTGTTTTTCTTAGAATCCTGGAATGGGTTGGGTTGATAAAGACCTTAAAGACCATCTCATTCCAACCCCCTTCCATGGGGAGGGATATCTTCCACTAGACCAGGCTGATCAGATGGCCTAGTGGGCTTTTCCTCTGCATGTTTGGACAGAGACAGATGCAAGGAAAGGGGGTATTTCAAAACATCTGTCTTGAAATATCCCAGCTTATATAGCTGTGTTTTTCTAGCACTGATTTGGCCACACGGATTGGTACCATTCCTAGATGGATTATTTATCTCCCCAAGAGCAATATGAGGGGTGGGATGCAGCAGAGCAGTTCATGCAATTGATGCTTCATTTGAGGGCTTACTTAAAATTAAAACAACCTAAGCCCTCCCATGCCAGAAATTATTATATTCAGTTTAATAATTAAAGCTTAAAAGCAGAAGCTGTCTCTCCATTGTAATTTATCATTCAGCAACAGGCTGACTGCTGCAGACAGTTGTTTTCTGCCTCTACAAGTTTCCCATCCCAGTGGATTTTTGTGGTCTCATCCATGGACTGCAGTTGCACTGGCTGAAATGTGTTATGGCAAATAAAAGTGTTCCTGTTGTTAGGAGTATGACAGTTACAGGGAAAGGAGTGGGAATAAGGTCCAGGGCTCTGCCATGGGCAAAGTCCTAAACAACTTGATGAGTTGAAGGAATAAAGTGTTGTTTCTGGCTGGGAATGGTGAAAGGGAAGTGCAGGACATCATTCGTGCAGTAAAGCAGCTGCTCAAGGTTTGGCAGGGGTAACACACGATAATTTTTTTCTTTCTTGATCGTAACTACTTTGGATGTGTTAAATGAAGTGAGCTCATCTCGTGTCTGCTGTGATCATGTAAAACCACCAAAACCTCAGGCTGAACAAGCAGCAAAACTTGCACAGAATGACCTCAGGGTAGTTCTGGTTTTCCCTGTGGTTTCAGGGCAGGGCTAAAGTGAGTGGGTGCTGCTCTATGGCTTCAGTTGAGCCATTCCAGTCTCTGACCAGAGAGCACCACTGACCTGCTTCAGGGACCAGAAAATAGGAGCCAAAGAGTCCAATGAGCTGCAGGTCCTAGCTCTGAAAGGCAGAAAGTTCAGCAATGCACTGAGCACACAGGAAGAATGGAGAGCCCTGGACAGGCAGGGAAATTCCTTACGGGGATTGAGGTTCTGTCCTGGCACCTGGTGGGATTCCCAGCCCGGGGGATTTTTCCATTTGCTTGGTAGCATGCTGGTTGTGGTGCCACAGGGAATTTTTCTGGCTCTGGGAATGTTCTCTGGGCATTTTCCTCAAGTTGAGCTTAGTTCTTCCCTCCTCAAGCTTGATTGCAAAATGCTTTTTGACATAATTGGAAGTGGGATGGCTGCGGAAGTGCTGCTGTAAGAAAACACTTCAGTGCAGTTTGAAGTGCTCTGCTGCATGAGGCTGTGTCTCTCAGGTGTCTCTCGTGCAACTACAGACAACATCTTAAAACATCACTACTCCCCAGTCTGAGGCAGAGCAACTGGAGTTTGAATGTTTGAATGTGGCAAACTTTTACACCGGTTGTTCTTGCCATGGAGCCTGGAGGCATTTCTGCATCTGCAGCTCCTCAGCTGCATCACAACTCTGGGGCTGGGCTGCTTCTGCTTCTTCCCAGCTCTCCTCCCCTAGGACATGGTGTTTGTGCAAAATAATTACTTTCCTTGGCACCTGACAAGCTGTTAACCTGTTTGAGGCAGAGCAGGGGCTGCTATTCCTTAGAGCTGTGCTGGACCCATTGCAGGCAGCTCCTGGACTCTGCTCTCACCCCAAGGTTTTGCTCCCTGTGGTCTCCTCTCTGTTCTCCCTGTACCATACCAGTATGGCCAGGCTGCTGTCCTGGATGTTGTGTTTCAAATCCTTGCCTGGAGATACTCTATTTGCCTGCTAGTCCTTGTCCAGGCATCCCTGAGGAAGAGCATCAGCATTCATTGTGACATGTGGTTCATCCTGTAATGTACTTTCTCCTGGGAGAGCAGCCTGGCTGTTATTTTGAGTGATCTCATGGAGACAGATAGGCCAGACAGTATCTGTGCCTGAACTGCATCATGGTAGAGCAGGGCCACTAGGCCACGTTAGCTGAATCCACATGGATCCATCCCTTTGGATGGGTTTGCTTTGGATCTGGATAATCTCTGGTGTTTGGCCTCACTGGAACGTGCTGCTCTGTGTCTGGGGCTGCAGAGGCAAAAACCAAGCCTGTTCCAGAGCATCTCCAATCTGAACTGGATGGGGTGGGTGCAGGTTGCCAGGTGGGGAGCAGAGGCACCCACAGAGACAAGGGGGGTGAGCAGGAGGGGACCAGATCTGGTGCTCCCACTGATCTTCCTGACCCATCCTCTGTCCTAGCAAAGGGTGAGGAGAATGCACACGCAGGAAAAATTGCAAGAAGTGCAGTAACTGCTTGCTTTTCCTCACAGGAGAAAGCCATCAGCATCTGGGAATCCAAGAACTTCTTCATTGAGCTGGACCCTCTCCCTGGGGCTGTGGAAGCTGTGAAGCAAATGGCAAATTTGGCAGAGTGAGTATGAACCTGCCCATGGTGTGTGGGGATGGACAGAGGAGCAGCTGTGTCTTCACATCCACCTCTTGGCAGAAGTGCTGGTACAATAACAGCATTAAAAATAAATATCTCCTAGCCATCAGGGAAGGGAGGGGAGAGAGGGAGCAGTCACCTAGAACCTTTTTGCTTCAGCTCTCTGCTCCCAGCAAAGGCTGTGAAAAGGCGAACACGATTGTGCTGTGGGATTTTGTGAGATGGGGGATTAATGTCTTAAATCTGTTTGATCTTTGTGTGGTGGGGGGTTGGCTCTGGGCTGCTGCCTGCTCTGGCCCAGAATGACACTCTGCCCCTGTTTTTCTCCTCGTGGCAGCACTGACGTGTTCATCTGCACGAGCCCGATCAAGAAGTACCGGTACTGCCCTTACGAGAAGGTGAGCAGGCCCAAATCTCAGCTCCCCCTCCCATCCACGCTGCCCAGTGGAAGGTGTCTGACTCCTGGCTGTAAAATTTACCTGTTCCATCCATTTGCATGCACTAAGGCTCTTGGTCTTAGTCTTTCATCATGACATCAAAAGCTGCTTGGCTTTCAAAGAACTTTTACTCCAGCAGCATCCAAATCCATCCCACTAATGAACTTATTAAGAGAGATATCCTCCTTGTGTGGGGGCCAGGGCTGCTTCCACTCCACCAAGCACCCTCTGCCCCATCCATCAGCCTTCCCTGAGCTCACCAGCCATCTCTTGCCTTCCAGTATGCCTGGGTGGAGAAGCACTTTGGCCCTGAATTTCTTGAGCAGATTGTTTTGACACGAGATAAGACGGTGGTTTCTGCTGATCTGCTTATAGATGACAGACCTGATATAACAGGTAAGAGCTGAGGGGTGAAGGAGGCAGCCAGGGATGGGTGTTGGTCTTTCCATGCTGTTTGCGTTTTGTAACTTTGGGGTCTTTATATTGGGGTAAAATCAACTTCAGTGTCTCAGAGTTCTCCAGACCACTGACCTTCCTTCCCTTGCAGGGGCAGAGCAGAACCCCACCTGGGAGCACGTGCTCTTCACTGCCTGCCACAACAAGCACCTGCAGCTGAAGCCCCCCAGCCGCCGGCTGCACTCCTGGTCTGATGACTGGAAGGCCATTCTGGACAGCAAACGCCTCCCACCCGGCCAGGCCATCTAAACACCAGCCCCCACGGCCACCCAGGGCTGCAGCCACCTGTCTGTGTCCGTGTGGAGTCCTGCTGAAGGCCAGAAATATGGATGGACAGACAGACAGACAGATGCTGTCTCTGCTGCAGAGAGGAGGAGGAGGGTGAGCTGAAGCACCAGAGTCACCTGGACTTGAAAAACAGATCCCAGCCCAGCCCTGCCACAAGGGAGCAACAGCAGGATTGTGCCTGTGGACCTGACAGCCTGGCTGGAGGGCATTTCCCACTGGTTCCTGGGGTCTTTGTGCTGCATCTGCACCTCCCACAGGGCCTGCCCAGCATTTCTGATGGACAAGGTCACCCTCAGCATGTCACTGCCCTTGCCTGGGTGCACTGCATGGCACAGACCAACTCTCCATCCTCCCTCTGTGTCATGGTCAGGGATCATGCATCTGGTTTGTTTAGTCCTTGCAAGGCTTCATTCCAAGGATCTGCCTCAGGAGGTCCTTCCCACTAGCAGTGCCTGGATCTGGGGAGAGGGGTGGCTGGAAGGGCAGGGAGAGCAGGCAGGTTTTGTCCAGGCTCCCTGCACTGGGGTTTTGTTGGTGGAGGATTGTCACAAACACATCCATGGATGCTGTCTGCAGTTCTCACATACTGCAAGGGAAGATGTTGGGGGGATGTTGCTTCTAAAGGCTTGGGGAGCTGATTTCAGCCAGGGTAGAGTTAATTTTCTTCACACAAAATATAGCCCCATACAAGCCACTGTGAAAAAAATTAACTCTACCCTGGCCAAAAGCAGCATGGCAGCCCATTAGAGGTGCCCACGAGCTGCATCACAGGGTAGTTTGTTCTGCAGCTCCACCGTGGTCCCAGCCCTGGATGTCTGGGGACAGAGTGTGCTTCCAGCCCCACTGCCCTGGCTCTGGGCCCCTGCAGAGTGGTGTTCAGTTCAGCCTGGCTGGTGCAAAGGGCTCACAGCACACGCAGCTGTACCAGCCACCTCTGCCAGGGTACAGTGCCGGGGCTGCTCAGCTCTGGGAGCATCCAGTGCTGCTGGGAAGCTGCAGTTGGCCACCAAGAAGTGAGGGTTTAGACCAAGGGGCAGCTCCAAGGGGGATGTTTCTGGCATAGCTGTGCCCACAGCCCCTTCCTGCCTTGTTTGTCTCATTTTTGCTTCACCAAGCCCACACCAGTCCAGCCTTGAACTTCAGTGACCTGTCTGGCATGAGAAAAGAGCTGCTGCTGCTGCTCCTGGCCTCAGAGAGATATCCCAACTGCTGGGAGAGCCTGGCATCCCCTCCCTGCCTGTGGGACTGCCACAGGGCAGCCACAGCCCGGCTGTCCCTAGTGGGAGCTGGTGCTGACCCACCCCAGGCAAAGCCCCAGGGATGAGCTGGCTGTGTCACTGCTGACACCATAGAGGCTATCACACCCTGCTGCTGCCTGTCCCCACGCTGTCCAGGATCCCACTGCCCTCCTGGCCCAAGGACTTGCTGGCTGCAGCAGTAAAATTCCCCACTTGGACACATAGCCCCACAGGCAGGGGTGGCAGCCAGGGTTTGGCTGGGGTTTGCCACCCTGCACTCCATACTCACACCTGTGGTTTGCCTCTCCCCTCTCCTGTGAGAGAGAGCTTTACATGAACATAAAGCTACACAACCAACAAATAATGGAATTCAGCAGAGGCAGCCAGACCCCTCCTGTAGCCAGGACCTAGAGGGGTTCTGAAGTTGGTGCTTTGGAACTTGTGCCTTCCCTGGGTGTTGCAGGGCCAGGGATGGGGCCTGTGTCAACTTGGGGCTTGCCCTGTTTCTTGGGATGGGAGTTTACAAAGTCAGCATGGTTGATCTAAGGCAGTGGGACTTACATACCACAAGCATGCTTTTTTTCTTTCTTTTTTTTTTTTTTTTCATTTTTCTTTCCTGTTTAAACCACTGTGTGCTGCTCTGGGTGGTGGGTTTGGTTTGGAGGGGTCTATTTGGGATGTCCAGCTGCCTGAGGTGCAGCCTTCTGGCCAAGAGCTGCCTTGGCTGGAGGGTTTGCAAGCTGGGAACTGGGACAGTGTGGGAGCACCATGGGCAGCTGCTGCAGCTGCTGAACATCAGGAACCCCTTGGCTCCACCAGACCTCCACCATCTGTTGGCCCCTCTGTGCAGCCAGGGTGACTTCATGGGGTCCAAGCTGATTTTTTTCTAATGGTACCATGTAAATATGAGCTGCCCAAGCTCCCCAGAGCCTTCTCCCTGCTCATTGAGCCAAAACAAGCTGGCACTTTGCTTCAGCAGCTGCCCAATCCTGTCATCTTCCCCCAAGGCTGGGGCAGACCTGAGGGATGTGGCTCTCTGGGGCCAGCAGGACTTTTCCCTGTGGTGAGATGTGATGCCAGAGAGACCATGTGGCTTCACACCAACTATACTTGAAAGCAGAACTGGAGTTTCTAATGCCTGAGGCTCCAACTCCATGCACAGAGATCCTGAGCTGGTAGCTGGACTCTTTGCTCCCACACTCGGGACCGGGAGGTGATCGGCTCGTTCATTGTTCAAGCCTGTGTCCAGCTGAGATACACAGAGCTTTTATTTTTGAATGTACATCTAATAAACCCAAGGCAAATGAGGAGCACTGCAATAAACACTGGGTTGTTTGGCATCCAGCTGCCTAGAAATGGAGTTTGGAGTTTCCCAGCCGTGGCTCTGTGTGGGGATAGGGGAGTTTCACCTCCAGTTTTGGGAATGTCACCTTGTCCAGAAAACCTGGAACCAGCCCTGCTACCCTGGCAGTGCCATCACCCTGTGGGCAGAAATAAAGCCAAGGGGTGGTTTTGGGTGGAGTTCATCTTCCTAAAGATCTTTTATAATAAATAAAGCTGTGAAGTCTATGTCCTATTGGGCCACAGAGCAGAAGCTATAAAAAGGGCTGGGGCTGTCAAGGGCTGGCTCTCTGTGGAATTTTATTCCTTTTCCATCACTGCTGGCTGCTCCACATCCACACACCCAGGTTGTGAGGTGTCTGTGGACTCCCCTGCCGGCTGTGGGGCTGTGCCATGAGAATCCCTGTGCATGACCAGAGCTTGCATGCTGTGAGCAATGCCATAGCCCAGCTGGACACACGGGACCAGAGCCAGGGAGGGAGGACTGTGGGACCATCCCAGCAGGGCTGGGAAAATCAGAATCACAGGACAGAAGCTGATTGTGTGTTCCTTGTACTGGTGTGGCTCCAGGACATGACACAAGGTGTTACCAGGATCACATCTGTGAGCTGGAGGTGTAGTCCTGCTGGAGCTGGGATACCAAGGGACTCCTGGCCAGCACGGAGACAAGGTGATTCAGCTGCCAGCTCAAACAGCACCACCTGCACTGGGTGCACACCTCCCCAGGACGCTGCTGTGGGGCCCATAAAGCTGTTCCAGGGCTGGTTTAGCAACGAGCACCTCTCTGCCTTTCTGGTTGCTTTTTGGGGCTTCCTGGCAGCAAGTGTTGGGCCACAGCTCCTCCTCCATCCCCACTACCCTCACCCTGCCTTGGAGGTCCCAGCTCCCCAGAGGAGACACCGTCCTTCCTTGGCCCAGGGATGGAGGCAGAGGGTTTGACATCAGCTCTGCCCTGAGCTGGGGCTGCTGGATGGTGGCACTGGGACCAGGGTCACGATTCCAGTAGAAGATGGAGTGAATTGGAGGGATGGAATCCTGATGGAGCATGATGAACTCCAGGTTTGCAGCTGTGTCTGTTCTTCCACGCTTTCCTTTATGGCTTTTTTTTTTTTTTTCCCCCCTTGAAAAGCCTCAGATTGCAGATATCACATAGATTCCAGATGATAACCAGTTTCCAAAGCAGTCAGAGGCAGAGAGGAGGGGTAAGGAGATGGTAGTGCTCTGGCCCTGAGCACAGGGCAGTGCTCAAAGCCAGTGCTGGTGGGAACCTTTGCACCCTTCCCATGGGCAGGAGCTGCTGGACAAATGTGCAAACACCCACCCTCCTCAGGGCAGTCGCACCTGAAAGCATCCCACTTCTCCCCAGCCCAAGCTGGACCAAGGTAGCAGGCCCTGGCAGCGAGGGATGCTCGCCCCTGGATCCTCCCCTGGATCCTCGGAAGCAGTCAGCAGTCGCCACGCGGGTGCTCATTAGCTCGTTCTCACGTTGGCCACTGCCCAAATAACTCCGAGCGGTGTGAAATCCCAGCGGAGGGGAGAGCCAGGAATGCAGGGGCCAAGCGGGGCCAGCCCTGACGCAAGGGCAGCGGGTGGTGCGGGACAAAGGCAGGGCAGGGGACGGGGCGAGGGAGGATGAATCACACAAATACGCAGGAAGGGAAGGAGCGGAGGAAGCCACGGAGCAGCTGGAGGCAGCTGGATGGGGTTTTGCTCCTGCCACCGTGCCCACATTCAGGAGAGGAGCAGGACGGTGCCTCAGGGTCACTGCCGGTGCCAGGCTTTGGAGCCCGGTGGTGCCAGCGGAGTGTGGGCAGGACATCCGTGTGGATGAAAGAGGAATATCCACTAGAGGGGACTGTGTGATCGCGTGTGGGAGCTGCCAGCCAGCGCTCAGCACAGTGTGCCAGCCCTCCTTCCAGCCCAGTTATCCCAGCCCAGGCTCCAATGCTCTCTGCATCCCTCCCGCCCGAGGCAGATCACCGGGACCAGCCGATGCACCAGGGGGTACCGAGGGGCAGCTGCAGGCGCCAGGAAAGTCAGAGAATCGTGGAATGGTTTGGGCTGGAAGGGATCTTAAAAAACACCAGCTCATTGGAACCCACTGCCACGGGTAGGGACACCTTCAACTATTCCAAGTTGCTCCAAGAGCCATCCAACCTGGCCTTGGACACTTCTAAGGATGGGGAATTGTGCTGGGATGGCCTCTACCAGCTGCTGAGCCTCCTCCCAACCACTTGCTCTCTCTCCAGCTGGATGGGACAGAGAATGGAATGGGCCAAAACATGAACAACTTGTGGGTTAGAAGATGAACTAGGCAACCTATAGGGTCTGTATAGAAAATAACCATGGAAAAATCACAGGCTGAAGGCCCCTGACAGCCCAGGGCATCTCTCCTTTCCCTGCTTGGCTCTGGCCCTGCTTCCTCCTGGGACCCTACAGCTCTCCCAAGGCTGAGATTGCTCATCCTGCCCCTGAAAGCCTGAAATCCCCAAAAGAGCTGGAATATGAATTTGTCTCTTCCTTTTGCTCACCCTGAAGCTGGAGCCCATTTTGGGGAGTAGAGTGGGGGCAGATCTCCTGGGGGGGAGGACAGGGGGACTGGTGTGGTTCCTGATGGGTTTTGCTTGCCCTTCCATTCTCCCCCAACACCGTGATATTATTTCACTCCTGGTTGGATTAATGGGATTTGCTTCTCCATTTGTGCACAGGGACTTGAGTAATGCACTCCCCAGAGAGAAATCAACTTCCCTTGCCCCAGCAGTGCTGGGGAGGCCAGACCAGAGCCCACGTGATAGGCTCACTGGCTTTCTCCTGTCCTTCAAGGCTCCACACACATTAAGCCCATCCTCTTGGCAACAATCTTGTAAACTGTTTATTTGTGACTATGTTAACAAACATGCTTGGGGAACATGTTGTATTCAGACGTGAGCATGCCACCTTCTCCCTGCCTCTCTGGGCCAGGACTGTGGGCAGTGAGGGGCCAGGGCTCAGAGCTGCCAAAATCCAGCTGACTCTGCACTTGGAGCACCACCGGGACCAGCAACCCCGAGCACGAGGCCACCTCGCCTGCTGTTCCCACAAACCACCAAACCTGCCAGCAACATCCCACCAATGCCTTTTTCCTGGAGGTTCCCAGCTCATAGCTTTTTCCTGGAGGTCCCCAGCTCATGGATGCAGCTGGGGGAAGGGTCTGACCACGACCTCATAGAACCCTGGTGTCCTGCAGCCAGAGGGACATGGACACAAGGGCCCCAGGGATCCTGTCCAGCTCTGTAAACACCCGTCATAGGGGAGGGCACTGGTGTCAGGTCACACCATGGGCAGAGACCAGTGGAGCTGAGCTTGCACACCCCACAGCTTCCCTGAGCTCATCCCTATCCCTATCCCTCACCTGTCCAGTTCTCCTCAGCTGGTGGGTGTCAGCAATGATCCTGGGAGGAAGGTACCCTGGAGAAACGGTGCTGCTCCTCTCCCAGAACAGACTCACCCTGAACACATGTTATTTTAAACTCTAACTTGCCAGATTTGAGGTGAACTTGTCTTGGCTGTGTCTGGGTCCAATACCCCATGTCCCTCAATCTGCATTCAGCATCTCCAGGTAACCAGGGCTGGAACTGGGTCTGTTTTCCTGAGATCCAGGGGAGGGAGATGAACAGCAATTACTGAAGAGCTGTAGTTCAGGTACTGGGTGAGAGCACTTGAGAGTCTATGGAGCTATAATCAAGCCTGTGAGCCTCTGTGTGCTCATGGCATTTTTCCTTCGTGCCATCCCAGTGGGAACATCAGCAGGGCAGCACCTGTGCTGCCTTCACATCCATCTCATGAGTCACCCTGGGGATGGCTTCAAGACACCAGAGGGCTCAGGGAAAATCCCAAAAGAGCTGGGAGATACACTGGCAGCAGCTGTGGAGGCAGGGAGTTGGCTTCTGTTTAGTAAAAGTGAGGAAAGAGGGCCCTGCTGCCAGTGCCAGGGAATGTGTGAGGATGAGGAGCAGCTCCTGCTGGGCTGAGCCCTTCCCAGGAGAAGGGATGGGAAAGGCACGGAATTGGTGCTGCAGAGCACCTGAACACTGCACTGGTGCTACCCAGGCAAGGCTCAATGCTGTCACCAGGGTTGGAGCTGGATGGTCTTTAAGGTTCCAACCCAGAGCATTTCATGATGTCACTGCTGAAGGCAGCATCCAGGTGTGGGCAGCAGCCAGTCCCAGCTCTCAGCCAGCTCCCCATCTCGGTGGGACTGGGATCCCTGGTGCCTGTGTTACCCTTTCTGTGCCCACCTGCACAAGGCTTTTGGCACCAGCTGGGAACCCCCTGGCTCAATGCCCCAGCCCCGCTCCCTTCCTCCTCCCAGTCACAGCCATGCCAGGTAATGACTCCATGAGCCCCGAGGAACAATCTTCTGAAGCTTTCCAGGTGTTATCACCCCTCCTCTTGCAGGCATCTCCTTTGCTCTCAGTCCCAGACCCTCTGGCTCTCACAGCCTCTGGAAAAGCAAACTCATGCCTTGGGTGCCTGTTTTATAACAGATTTTCCTTTTCCAGTCTAGCAGAGCAGTCTCACAGCTGTGCTTCCTGCTTATGCATCTTGTGCACATCCTTTTTTATCCCAGGGAAAGTGCTCCTGGGTGGCTCCTGGGGATAGGCACAGATGCCAGTGGCAGCCTCAGCCACCCTCAGAGCACAGGGGATGTTTTGGGACTGATTCCCTGCACTAGGGCCAGTTTATTCTCTGCAGGACATACCAGTCTGCAGGGAAACATGTCTGACTATAAATGTCACTGGCATCTCCTCACTCCAAAACTGATCTCTGGGTTACCCATGACTGTTCAGATTATGAAAATGGAGGCACAGAATATTTTCTAGTTCTTTCCTGTATAGTGGGGCTGTGACTACCCACACCTAAGGGATACAGGAAAACAGGGAGCTGAGTGTCCCACACTGCCTGGCATGGGCAGAGCCCAGCTTTGTAATGGGAATTCATAAAAAGAGACCGCAAGGAG